TTTGTTACATCAAGTTATATCCTACAGCACATGAAGGACATTGAAGATGATGAGGATTGAGAAAGCTCAGTATAACACCTGACACATATCTGATGACCTCACAAGTCTCACATCTTCGATAATCAACTTCTAAATATATCTAACATTGAGTTTCTGATTTGTTATTCCTGGAATAATTATAAAGTAAAAAATCAATATAGTCTAGAGAAATTTTGAGTTATATAATTATTATAAATGTACTTTATGATGTAATTATGGGTCATAGGATTATATTACTTTAATTTAAAAAAGTCAAATGTGTGTATATGGTTTAATTATCTATCCCACCCTGAAATCATGTGGAGTAAAAATGAAGATAATGAAGGTTATTATATGCTCCTAAGAAGGTATCAAAAATTCTGTATATGAATAAAGGTATCAAATCTCTCGATCTAAGTCTCTTGGAAACCCTTGGGAAATACAGATCAATATGTAGCTCATACTTATGCAGTCAAAATGCAAAATAGAGCAAAACAGGTATAGTTTTGACCTGTAAAATTTTGTTCACTCTTTGGTGTAAGAGACAACGAGTAAGGAAAGCATTTAATGAATTAATGAAAAGCTAAATGTGAATGGGAATCACAAACAGTGGCGGCTCTAGGATATATTTTCTGGGGGGGCTAAGTTGTCCGACAGGGTGACTCGAGCTCGTAGGCTCGAGCTGGAGGAAGGGGATTTTTTTTAAGAATAGCAACCTCTGGATGGCCGGAAATGGCACTCTCAGACTGTGACAGACATGTGTTGGTTTGGTGTGGGCCTATTTTTACTATGTTATATGGTCTGACTGCCCGACGAGCTCTGTCTGGCGGGGGGCGGGGGGGGACTTGACCTGTCCGTTGGGGGACTTAAGCCCCCTCTGTCCCCTGATCCACTGATCACAAATACTTACTGTAATAAATTAATAACAGAATGAATTAATAAGTTTTCATAAATAAATGGAAAAAAAACATGAATGTGAAGAGAATTAATGACTGTGAACTGAATGATTTTTAATGGTCAGGAGAATGAATGAATGAATTGAAGAATTGTATGAATGAAATGAAGCAATGATAAAAGGTTTAAGTACGGTACTATATGTTTCTGTTACTATCAGATTAAAGGTCTGGGCTGGCCATATATACAGGTACAGATTGTCTGAGGTCCACATTATCAGGTAACAAGTAATTGCCCAGGTAAGATATAAAATCCAAAAAGAAAAACTAGTAAATTTCAATATCGTTCATAAAAAGGATATTGAAATTTTTTGTCAAATATTGAATCTTCACTATGAATTGAAATTTAAAGTAATAAGCAACATGGTACAAAAAAAAAACCACAAAAAAAATACCACTACACTCTACACTGTAGAGTGAGCATAGAGAATATAATGCTGATTGGCCAACGATAAAACTAAACGCATGCAAAAATAATGAATGAGATCTAAACAACATTCAATCCATCAACATGCACATTCACAGCCTAAAGTCTGTCTCTTATACACATCTAGATGTGTATAAGAGACAGCCGTCGACAAACGAATTCAAAATATAAGCGAACGAGAAAAATTACTGTAGCAGATAGGCCTACTTTCTCTGTGGAAGAGAATAGACCGTTTTTGCTACAATATTACATTATTCATATTATTATTAAGATAATTAACAAAATAATGGTTTTAATTTACGCTAATGTGAATCTGCCGGTGAACAACATTTAATATGGATATATAGGCTATATAATTAATATTTAAAACTATTTAGTAATTGCCGCCTGACTTCGTTAGTCGGCACTCATTTTCAAGCGTAGTACTGGGCGGCGGTGAGACGGAACGATGCAACT